CCCCTCCGCCCCTTCGCCGCCGCCGCCGCCGCGGGCAGGGCCCCGCCGCCGCGCATGCGCCCAGCCTGCCGCCGTCATTGATGCTCGCCGCCCACCAGGGAAGGAGGGAGGGCGGAGGCGACGGAACTCGACGTCACGCGCAGTGGCCATGTTTGTTGAGGGCAAGGCGACGGCTACGGAGAGGGGCCCGGTTGGCCTTCTTTGGTGAGGGCAGAACGCTTTTGGGTGACCTGATGGATGGTGAATCTCTGGTTTTACAGATGGGGAAATTGAGGCTCTGAATCAGTGGACGGGACTGACCCAATGTCACAAGGGATTTGGCTTGTCTTGAGACATCTTGAAGCCCAAACTAGGGCTCTAGCAATTGGAAGTTTTCTAGCTTCTGAGTAACTGATAGGCAGATGGTCTCCCTCTCTCCCTTCCTCTCTCCCTTCCCACCTTCCTCCCTCCTTTCCTTCCCACCTTCCTCCCTCCTTTCCTTCCTTCCTCCCTCCCTCCCTTCCACCCTCTCTTCCTCCCTTCCAGCTTCTCAGTAATTGCTAGGCAGATTTCCTTCATTCCTCCCTCCCTCCTTCCCGCCTTCCCTCTCACCCTCTCTTCTTTCTCTCTACCTACCCATCTTCTTCCTTTCCATTCCCTTCCCTCTTTTCTTTCCTATTGCTCTTTTGGTAAAAATGGTAACAAGAAGAGAAGAAAATGGGAATAATAAATATGGAGAATTGAAGAGCAAAGAAATGATTAAAAAATTCAAGAGAGTGGTTTCTTCTGGAGGGAAGAAGCGGGATATGTTATAAAGAGGTACAAAAAGTGGGGGATTAGGGGTACATCCGTTTTATTGTGGGACTTGAATAAATACACCCTAACCCCTCTCCAGCTCTGTTTTCTCATCTATAAAATCATGGGTTTACTCAGTTATCTTTAAAGGCTTTTCCAGATCTTCCATTCTGTGAGTCCATAACAAGATATTGTGGGAGATAAATGTTGGTTTCCTTTCTCTGGGCTAAATGTGGTTATAGTAGATAGATAGATAAGGATCGTGGGAATATTACTTAACTTCTCTATGTCTTAATTCCTCATCTGTGAAATGTGGGCAACAATAGTACCTGCTATTGTGAAAATTACTGCAGTACCTGGACACAGTAAATGATCACTAAGTATTAGCTACTACTATTGCTAAATTAGCAATGCATTTAAGGTTCTTTTTTCATGGAAAAACTTTGTATGGATTATACAACCATGTTGAACTTGTGGCCCTGGGAGCCCCCTCCATCTGTGTAGATTTCCCCTTAAGGAGAAAGAAGGGGATCTAAAGATGTTACAGTTGGAAATGCCAAAGGTGAATGGTCTTGGTAAGAGGGATTACCCAAGGTAAAACCTCTCAGGGATCCTGGCTGCTGGGGTTTTCCATTTGCCTCAGAAATTTAGGCAGGTGTGGTTCCCTGGTGCCCCAATGAGAGATGACTCAACACAGGGAAGAGAACCATTAGGCTCACAGACCAACAACTTCCTGTTCCCCTGGGCTTTTCCCTTGGTGTCTACACAACTATCAGGTAGGTGACCTGAGATTGGCTGAGACAAGGCAGGTGGTGAGTATGGCCTTGTTGATAGATTGCACTCAGAGCTAGACTCAACACATGTTATTTCCTGTCTTCTTGCTGCACTCACCTTAAAAGGAATTGCTATTGTTCAGTGATTGGCCAAGGCTTTCCCCAGGGCTTTCCTGTTTGCTCCCAGTTGACTTCCTGGCCAGTGATTCTTAATTGCTTAATTGTAAGGGGTGAGGAGAGGCTGCCTTGAAAAACACACAACAGCTCCTTCCTGTCCCCCAACAAAAACCCGCCCTATACCAACAAAAGTAGTGCATACACACACACCCATAAAAGAAAGCTGGGCCATTATACTGTGTTCATAAGTCACTAGATTCGTGTGTCACCAGACATACAGCTGTTGGGGTTTTTCCCCTATTTAAAAGACTTGTCAGTTCGTATCTGGTCAGCATTTCCCTCTAGGGAACTCTCAAGGTTTCCTGAGTGTAGGGAACTAGGAGAAAGGGAGAAAGAGAAATCCCCTTTTTAAGAAACTCCCTTGATTCCTGCAATTTCTGAACCACAACTTTCCTCAGTTGACCAGCCTTGCCTATCTTGGCTAGTGTCACCAGCCCAGGACAGTTGATGCCAAGGATGAGACCTTTATGGAGTCTATATTTCAAACCCTTTACCTATTTTTTTCTCTAATATCCATAAGAGCCCCATGAAACAGTGTTGAGGGAATCACTTATTTCCCCTTCTCATATTTTCATGGAGGTGGGGGGTGGATTCCTACTTTATTCCCTAGCAGGGCCAAGTATGGAGGAATACATTCTAGCTTCCATCTACCCCTCCCTCATTTTTCCCCAGGGCAGGAGGAAGACTTACCTGATCCAGCAGACCAGTGGCTTTCTGAGAAGACTAAGTTGGACCATCCTCCACCAGAGAAGGTATGTTATTGTGTGCTGTCTGCAGTTGTTCACTGGGTCACTTCAGTCACATCCTCCAGTCCAGCTTTGTCAGTAATGAAGATGACCTTTTTTTTTTTTAAAGATTTTATTTATTTATTTATTTGAGAGAGAGAGAGAGAGAAACAGCATGAGAGGGGATAGGGTCAGAGGGAGAAGCAGGCTCCCTGCTGAGCCGGGAGCCCGATGTGGGACTCGATCCCAGGACTCCGGGATCATGACCTGAGCCGAAGGCAGTCGCTTAACCAACTGAGCCACCCAGGCGCCCTGAAGATGACCTTTTGACCTCCAGCTGTCTGACACTTGCTTTTGGTCTCAGTTCTGAAAGCAGGAGGGGCAGAAAGTGTTTATTGGTCTTCTAAAATGCCAACAGTGGTTGCTGTTATTATCATTCCTATTTTCAAGGTGGGGAAAGAGAGGCATAGAGAGGTTTGGAAATGTTTCACAGAGCTGGGAAGTCAAGTGATAGGAATAGGAATTTGAATCCAGGCCCTCTGTGCTGGAGCGCTCATGTATGCTATGCCTTAATGACGAAAAGCTTTCATCTGCACCCAACCCCCTTTTCTGGCCTTGGGCAAAAGTAAACAAGGGGAGATAATATGTTCTCATGACTGACCTCCTAACCCTTGGGCCCTACTTGCCTTGGAATGCTGTCAAAAATAGACAGATTTGCACAAGTAACGTTGTTTGGCACAACCAACCAATCTGATAAACCCTGACTCAACATGCCCTCCAGCCCCAGTCTCTAG